CCCCCCCCCGGCTACGGGCTTGTTATTATTATTATTATTATTATGAGGGAATGCTAAAGATAGAGAAAACTGCTCTTTTGTTCCGTGTGCCTAGCAGTAGTTTTATCAGAATTGTGGAAGCGTTCTCGGCGTGCTTATACACGTATATTAATAGCCTTGCGTGCTTAAATGAATTTAAGACTAGTGCCTTAATCTTTAAATCGAAATCATTCTTGATCAAATTTCATGCATTTTTCCATTAAGAATTTAATATCGTTTAAAAGCTATTGTTTCATTCAAGAAATCTGCTAAAGACATAATCATGTACTTTACACCATTATTATAAGAACAATATAGGAAGAATTAAAGGTATCCTTTCCGAGATTTTTCCCGGCAAATCGCATTTCACAAAGTATTGCTCGACCCATATTTTCCTTCGGGTTCCGTGCTTTATTCCATTTTTAACATGTTTTAGTTCAAACTGACTGGCCGGTCATTTTCAACGTCATGTCTTCGAGTACTTTTCATTATGAACTATCGACGTCTGGTACTTTTATTTGAGGAGTTCTATCCTTTTAAAGAATCGAAAAGATAAGTAACTATGCGGAATAGGAACAGTAGACATTTTCAAACGCAGTACATGTAAGGTACACATCACTTATCAAATAACCCGGTCGAGGTCCGTAGAGTCAATTACGATTGAAGTTAAGCTTCAACGTAAATTTATAACTTGAGTAATACACGTGCGCGGCGCATTTACGTCGCGAGCACGCGCGCGTGTGTGCGTAGGTCAACTTAGACAGAACTAAATATTTCGTTTTAAAAGCCCCCCCTCCCTCAAACCAACTCCAAAACTCCACACACTCACGACTCTTTTGTACTACAACTCATTGACATTTCTTATTAAATTTTAAAGATAGATTTCTTTACCTCGCTTTTCTATTAATAACAGGTACCATGTACGCAGATTTACAATGTAATGTACAAATGACAGCGTGTACCACGTTATCTGACTTTCTTGTTAGGATGTTGCTTGTGTATATATGGAAACCAGCTGAAGTTATCTCCAAAATATGTGGAAGTCATATAATTTTTTGCCACTACTTGACTACATTTACACTTGAACCCGTGACCCGAATTTTACCTTATTCCAAGACTTCTTATTCCACCGCACCCCATGTACAACCAACTGGTCTTATCCCCTCCTATCTCGAAAGTCAAAACAGGTATGTTGTCGACAAACAGTATAAATCACAATGGAGCAGGTTAAAAAAAATATTTATGTTTCACTTAGAGCCCACTGAAAGGTACACAGCTGTTCGGGATCTTGACTTCAAAACATCCAAGATAAAACACAGAAGCATTCAAAACATGTCTTTTTTAATCAGTACGTAGCTGTAATGTGATCTGCACGTTAGGTAATACAGCGAGTGACTTTTTTTATAACGTCGTGTTTCAGACTAATACAACAGCACTACCACAATATATTATTTGGCCTCAGTTTTGTTTCAATTAATAAAGGTTTGCACCAGCCAGTTTATGGAAAGGCATTCTTCTTGTCTCAACACTTTTGACACCTAATTTTCTTCAACGTTGGTCTTTTATACTTTGCAATATTAAATGTAAAATCAGCACTTTTTGTATCATTATTTCATGATTAATTTTTTTTACCGAAATTGTACCTCTTTAGCATTGATTAAAATCACCCTTTATAAAACATTATTTTTCTATCAATTAACAAGGAAATAAGGCTGTTTTATAAATGGTCTTATTTCCTTTCGGGACAGTAGTTCGCAAAACACTTTCAGACATATAAAGTTAACGCTAAATCGACTGCACGTAGAGGGCTATCCAAATGAAGCAGTCTTCGTTCAAAGACTAAAGTTTGCAGAAGTGTCTCCAGGTACATCTACCCTATCCTAGCGTACACGTGCCATAGGAATTCCTAATTAACTTCCGAGTCACGCGCACACGCGTGGTTTATAAAAGACGAGCAAATCCAACCTGTCAGCCGCTTCATCTTTAAATCCAAATCCGTGCCCCTGTCCTAATACCCTTTACGTAAGCCAGCATAATGAACATATAATGTTAAAGTTCACCTCACGCTCGAGGATACCGGAGGAGACAGGATTGTGCCGGTAGTATGACGTCATGTGACGTCAAGTGGTGTAAGACGTGAACCTGAGTGGTCATTTTTAGCTGGAGGTGAACGGGAGTGAAGATGTGGGCTCAGAGAAAAGCAGTTTTTCCAACAACATAGTAATATAACATTTTTTTCTTTTGGTATTTTGGACAGAAAATATATGTAGAAATAATAGGTACATGATAAGAAAACGTGTTTTGATACTTGAAGGTGCAAAATCGTGCTTAACTTCCTAACAATTTGTTTTGAAATATATTCTGCATCGACCGACTGCGCAACAAAGAGCGTCAATGGAAAATAATTCGTGCGAGGCTGTAATTCGTTGTCATGTGGAATTTTTGCATGTATGTAATCTGACATGCCCATATCTAATCATTTTTGGGTGTTTATGGTATGTGCTGCAATTATAACAATGTTTTAGAATCCTTGAAGGACCTTGTGAAAACCAGGAAGTAGTTCGCAACTGACAACTGAATCGCACCTAACCACGGTTGCTGTGCAATGATTTATCTTTTTTTAAATATGTGACGAGTTTTTAGATGAGCGCGGTTCAACTGGCATTTGCAACA